GGGGGGGGGGGGGGGGGGGGGGGGGGGGGGGGGGGAAGCTTTCCATGTACTGTTGCATGTATGTTTGAACAGAGCACTTTCTTGGCAGCTGGACAGGATTTTATAAGGAAGTCTCCTTTGGCATTGCGTGAAAGAAAGAGAGCGATGACTCATGCAGTTGTACTCTTGGCCAGTAGATAAAGTTCTTGTTCATTGTGGGACTCCCAGCAGGACCTCAGAGTAATTTCCCGTTTTGCATCGTATAGAATAGGACATTTCTGTTCTGTAACTTTTTCTCACTTCTGTTGTTGAAGTTCCCCATGTTTCTCCAACCATGCACGGAGCAGTGTAAGCAATGTGGCGTGCATGCCAGTGTGCTTGGAAGTGACATTCTTTGAAAGTCGGGTGCGCTGTGTTCTCATGCACAGGAAATGGGAGGATGTCTGCTGCTCCACTGATGTCCCCACAGGACGGACAGCAGCTCTGCGGCCATGCTGAAACAGGGCTTTGTTTTCTGACAGGGCGTTGGGATTTCAGCACATTGTGTTCACTTGGGTCCTCTCAGCCTTGTGTTTGTGCAAGAGGGATGCAAACAACTTGGCATTAAACAGGGAGTGAGAGCGCAGGCTGACTATTTGTTGTGGTTCTCTACAGTCCTTTTCAATGTCAGCCTCCTAAAAACATGGATTTATGATGAGAGCGAAGATAATTTGAGTGACTCATTAGAATGCTATTTTGAAAACTAAAGCTGACTTGCACCTTCAGCTGTGCGTTTGAACTCCTGCCCAGGTCTCAAGAACCAATTTCTTTTCATCGTGGCAGTCACCTAGTTACGGCTGGAGGAGCCTGTAATTTGTTTTGAACCTAGAAACCTCACATCGAACGCACTACATTCCTATATGCTTTTTGAAGTGTAAAATACAATTGGGTTTATTTTTAAGCAAGCTTCTAACTTTTCCCTTTCTTACCCTTTTCTTTCACGTAGACGTGTTTGGAGCTGGAACGGTATCTTCAAAGCGAACCTTGCTATGTGTCTGCATCTGAAATCAAATTTGATAACCAAGAGGATCTCTGGACCAAAATTATTCTGGCACGTGAGAAAAAGGAGGAATCTGAACTGAAGACTGCATGTGTCTCAAAGGAGGACAGCCCTACCAGTCAGAACTTAGAGACCAATAGTTTGAATTCAGATGTGAGCAGCGAATCTTCAGACAGCTCTGAGGAGCTCTCGCCCACCACCAAGTTTACCTCTGACCCTATAAGTGACGTTTTAACCAATTCAGGAAACTTGTGTTCGTCTGTTACTTCCACTCCCCCATCGTCTCCTGAGCTGAGCAAGGAGCCTTCTTCCCAGCTATGGAATTGTACGCCGGGTGAGTTGCATTCACCGGGGAAAATTCGTACCGGTACCGCTGGAAAGACTGCAGAAAAAGGTACACCCGCCAATGGGGACACCTCGCCAGATGGCAGAAGGCGTGTTCACAGGTGTCATTTTAACGGTTGCAGGAAAGTTTACACCAAAAGTTCACATCTGAAAGCACATCAGCGCACTCATACAGGTTAGTAACTGAACGCTCGTTAAGAGTTGGCAAGTCCTGCAGGGAATACCCCTGATGATGGGGGTTTCACAGCCTTACACAAGCGCTGGGTGGGAGCCCAGGTTTGGAGAGATGATGTAATAGTGCTAGAGGCTTACCAGAACAGACGACATCACTTCCTCATTCCTTTCATCAGCCAGCCAAAACCAAGGCACTTGGCTGTCGATGAGTCTGCTGTCATAGCAAATAGGAACAGCTTGGTTAACTGGGCAGTGCTTGAAAAGCTACAGATCTGTGTGGCCTTCAAGAGCCACTGGCCAACATACACACTAGACCTCTGTGCACATTTATTACTAAAGCAAGGGGAAATGAGACTTTCTTGAAAACAAAACAAAACAAACAAAAAAAAAAAAAGAAAAAAAAGAAAAAAAAGAAAAAAAAAAACAGGAACTGCATATCCAAAAGTTGGACAGATCACAAAGTAGCATACGAACCTGTCTTTATGGTCCACATTGGGTCTATTCAACCAGACATCCGAAGGCCTTGAGTCTATAAATTACAGCTATTACAGTATTTACAACTACAATTATAGTTGTAAATAATTTAAGAGTTTGGTGTGCTGTCATGTCAGCAAAAATCTTGGAAAGCCACGGTCTGTTGTAGTTCTTTGAACGTTTCTTCCTAATTGGACTTGCAAATGTATGACTGTATAATTTCATCCCAAAATACTGAGTAGCAGCATTGTATTGTTACGGAGCCTGAACTGGAAAAAAAATAGTCCTGTGTGTTATTGAGAAAGAAAGTAAGGAAGGTGGGTTCTTCAAGGCTTTTAGAATATTTTAGAGTTGAAGTAGTGTGCTGATTTGCTTTTTGAGTATTAATATTCAGCATCGTTCTGTGACAGCTGTTAGATGTGTAGGGCTATGCCTTGGCTTAGTCATCATTGCTTACTGCAAAGAACTGGCCTGGTGTTCTTGGTGTGCCAGCACAAAGACCTATGCAGTATTTTTCTCCATGACGTGGAAAGAGAATTCAAGGAACAGATCCTGTTTTGACTCATGAGCTCAGCATTTTGTGGCTTTTATGGGAAGTCTGAGCAAACTTGGATGTTCCCGTTGTCAAGCAGAAGTCCGATAAAATGAGTTTATTTTGAGGGGAAGAAACATCTTCCAATGAAACCATGGTGGTTGAGCAGACACAAATAGCTGCCAGGCTCAGAGGTATTGCAGAGCTCTTGTCCTGGTGCTGTGTGGCTGAGAGCATTCCTGTGAATGGAAGTGGTATTTCTCAAATGCTGAAATAGCAATGCTCAAAGTGACATGCAAGCTCTTCCAAGAAAATGTGGCTCAGCAGAAGGAGGTTGCATGTTATGGAGCTGAGTGTGTGACAGAGGCTTTGATGCAATACAGTAGCCTAATTGCATTTGTGAGCCTCGCTGTGCTGTCTGTAATCACCTGTGAGGTCCATGCTACCTGTTTGGGAGTCAGGGTGCTATTACAGATGAACAGGAATGTTAGAAGGTTGCGTTTCTTTGTCTCTTGTGAACCTGTTAAATTGCTTTTTTTCAATAGGAACAAGATCAGTTGATGTGCTGTTGCAGCAAAAGAGTTAGGAAGGAATCAGGTGGATGAATTTTGCTTTCTTTGCATCTGAGGCATTCAGATATGTTAAATGGAATTGACTGTCTTTAGGGGGTGGAGGAGGTTTACATAGAAAATGAATGGGATAGCACTGATCTTTGTTTGAATGAAGTCATGACTAACGTGTAATCTGCTTTCTTTGTAGGGGAAAAGCCTTACAGATGTTCGTGGGAAGGGTGTGAGTGGCGTTTCGCAAGAAGTGATGAATTAACCAGACACTTCAGAAAGCACACTGGTGCCAAGCCTTTTAAATGTAGTCACTGTGACAGGTATGTGACTGAAATGTACCTTTAGAAATAGTTATTTTTAACACTTTGTGGAAAGTGAACCTAGGCTGCCTTTCTTGAGATTAATGTGAAGGAATGTCTTGGTGGACACAATTGTGTCTAGTATTTTTAGAAATTATTATATCTTGATACTGGAGAAAAAAATAGTCTGGGTATAGCTTGTAGCCCAATGGGGCACGTTAGTGTTGAGAAATCCCTCGTGTTACCTGTTGGTACCTGTCGAGTATCTGGGTGCCTGGGGACACTGTGAGTACTCATGTGCCCTAGGATCACAGAATCATAGAGTGGGTTGGATTGAAAGGGACATGTAAGGTCATCTAGTTCCAACCCCCTGCTGTGGACAGGGTTGCCACCCACTAGATCACATTGCCCAGGGTCCCCTCCAACCTGGCTTTGAATACCTCCAGGGATGGGGCACCCACAAAATATGGGGTTCATAATATGGGGTCTCAGAATACAGGGGTGCAACCCCCAGCTAACACACCTGTTCTTCCCTTGCAGGTGTTTTTCCAGGTCTGATCACCTGGCCCTTCACATGAAGAGACACCTCTGAACAGGTCAAGAGGTGAATCCTGTGGGCTAAGAGGCGTCAAGGTTGAAGAGCCTTGAGCAGAGGGATGCGTGTTCCAGCCAAAGCATGCCATTTTGCACCCTACCCAGTTGCCTCCAGGACCTCACTTCCTTGAAGGTCTTTTGAGGGCTAATAAGTCATGTAAGAAACGGCATAGCAACCATGGTGCGTGATGTTTGGGGTTTCCTGGACTCATACACTGGTATCTAACCTTCTGAGTGGCTCCTAAGCCTTTGCCGTGAGCATGTGCACTGAGAATGTTAATGATTGGGCGACTGTATGCTATGAGGATCTATTGACGATTGTATGCTGAGGCACATTTTTTTTCTTGTGGTTGTTTTATAACTGTAAGAGAAAAAAAAAAGTCTGAATGTCTTGTATGTGAGGAATATCTTGTGAGATGGGACGACCACCAATCATTTCCAAGGGATGGGGGGAGGGCTGTCTGCACCTTTTTAGAGGGAAAACAGAGAGGGGAAAGGGGAATTAAAAAGAGTCAGGATGCCAGAATGGAGATGGGGACCTCCCCGTTCCTGTGTGAGAGGAGCTTTAGGTGTCTGGTGCAGCTATTAAACGTGCAATGTGTCAAGTAGCTTGTTTTACTTGCTACAGAGCTCATTTGTAATCCATTGTATAAGCTGTGTATTTACAAATGTAACACAACTATAACTTTTCATTATAATACAAAAGTTATTGCATGGTTCTGGGGAACTATATGCTTTTCCATTCTTTAATCAGGACTGCAGTTTTGATTCCAGTTAAGAGCAGCTAAAATACAATTGGTCTAATGTTACATAATGTATGGAACATGAATAATTTTTTCTGTTGGGTGGATAAAACCACTATTGGTTAGAAACTGATTTTTCTCATGCAGCTAATTTTTCTCTTATTTATGCCTTGAGGACTAACTTCTGGTTTTCTAGCTGTTAATGCACTGTTGACCTTAATAATGGTGCCTTATGCAAGTGACCTTCTCTTGTAGGGGGTCTTATACAGGGGTATGGGTGATGCATGCTTTATTAAGGCTCTCTTTTCACCTGGCATTGTACTGTATCAAATGTATAATATGAGGGAAAAAAAAAAAAAAGGTTACTTCCAGGGTCCTCCTTCACAAAGACAAATATAGAGAAAAGTCATTCATGTCAGTACAGTATTTGTTTAACTTAGACAATTTGACTGTGTTACAGTATAATGCATATGCCAATTGAATACCTGACCAGTTCTGCCACCTTGAGACTTTTTATATTGACCTTGCACAACTGTGTATATACACACCCCAACTGTACTTAATATGTTGAGTTTTCATACATATTAAAGATACAGAAGTATTAAAAGATGTATTTGCTTAAAAGGCACAAGTTTCACATCTATATATCTAGCTATCTGTTGGTCATACAGAAAGAAACTATATTACTTTTTTTTTTAAAAGTGGGCAGAAGAATAATTGTGTATGTATATTTGTGTGTACAGTCTGTGTATGTGTGTATATATATAGATAATATATAAATATTTTTTTTAAAAGGAAAAAAATTTAGAACGCATAGCTAGAAAATGCCACAGCCCATCAAAATATTCCCCCCCAAATATGGTCATTAAGGAGACAAAGAAATGAGAGATACAGTTATTAAAATCTAGTGTTTTTAGAGGCTTTACCTTTAGCGTAATGGTGTGCTAAAGGCTTTGTTGGCATTCAGTCCTTCTCAGACTGCTGACTGTGTTTTGTAGTTATTAGGTTGTCTGGAATAGCGTATCTGTGGCCATTTAAGAATGATATGAACCGAATATTGGCATGCTAAAAGAATATTAGCTGTGTGCAGATGAAGTACACTCATATTTTGGCCTTCCAGCTTATGGAAGGATTCGTGAGTGAGCTAGTCGTTGTGGTGGTTGAGCTCTAATTTTGCATAGTTCAGCTAAAATGAAGACTGTTTTTTCCTAGAATAGAAATAGTCTGTCCAAAAGCAGTTGTTTTTTTTGTTTGTTTTTTTTTTAACCAGCTCACTACAGTTGATGCAATGAAACACGTGATCTGTTTCTTTTTCTATTTATTATTGGTCTTGCTTACTATGCTAATACGTTGGTATATCTTTCCTGGAAATGTATGTAGATAAGTGGTTTAGGAAAAAGTATGTGCCAGTGATCTGGTTCTATGGAACACACAGGCTTAAATCATTCTCATTTCATTTTTACTTTAAATTGCCTGAAAATGCACTTTTCCCCCTCCCCCCAAAAAACTAAAATTTCCAGAAAGTGGATTTCTATTTAGAGTTGACTTTTGTTTTGTTTTGTTTTGTTTTAACTCCTTATTTGCATTGTCCTTGGCTTAGCCATACTTCTGAAAAGCGAGAAAGTAAACAAAAGAAAAAAAATTACCCCAAACTAAAAACATTAAACTTGCACTGGCTTGTCTCAATTGTGAAATACCATCAGACTTGTGTGGATGGGGTGGGGCTGTGTGCCATATGTCAAATGCCTGTAATTTTCTTAACAAGCAAGTACATTTTGTTCAGGTGATAACTGAGCCTCAATCAAGCTGAAAAATAAAAAATAAAAAAAAAAAAACATTTTTGCTTGAAATTTAAGAAAAAGTTTCTATTAGTGAAATTTCTTTTTTTGTTTTTGAAGCACCCTGTTATCTAAAGAATCTCTTTGTAAGATTTTTGTAAAGATTTTGTTTTACAAGATTTTATTTGAAATTGTTTTTTGCAAGATTGTTATATTTCTGTATGAATGTATTTTTTATTGGAATAACATAAAAAGAAATTCTTATCAGCATCATGTGTCTGGCTTCATCCTTCTCCTCCCTGGAGGCACACACACCAAACAATGCCAAATGCTGTGTTGACGCTTTCTCTTGAGTCATCTGATCGCATGTACAAACATCTTTGGGTCAAGTTGCCTTGTGGAAGACAAGCTCCTGTGAGAAAGTAACTTGATCAGTAGAAACACAGTGTTCTTCCATATCTGAACAGCCATTGTTGATTCAACTTTTGTCTTAGAATAAATAATTAACAGGGTTGTTTCTGCAAGACCACACCTTGATTCTGAATCATTGGCTCTGGAGAAGTGAATGTACACAGGACAACTTCTGCTCGTGGGAAATGAGATTCTGTGAGCATTTATGGTGAAGGAACCAAACAGTAGATGCCCAGGTGGGAGGCACCTGCCTTTAAACTTTTTAGCTGGGTGTGAGCCTTTGAACTGTCCCATCCATGGGGAAGCAAACCTGACACCTTCAAGGCACAGCTGATGGAAAGAGCCATGTGAAGTCTGTGTGGCCCAGATGAATGGACCTGAGCATTCTGCAGGTCACTAACCCACTGGTGACCTCCAGCCAGCCAACTTCAAGGCTCTGTGAACTGCAAAGAGCAATGGCTCTTCAAAGCATGACTGGCATGCACACCGGCTTTGGACACATGCAGAACTCGTTTTATGTTGCCTTGTGGCTTCTGTTTCACTCCTGCTTGTGTTAAAAACCCCTTAAGCATCGAGTAAAAGAATTTGCAGAAATAGCAAGGTTACATGCTGAGAAACTTGACATTAGGCATGTGAATCGAGCTCCCTGGATTTGAACATCCATAGTTTAAAATTAGAAATGTTCTAAAAATGCTGCAGGGGAAAAAAAAAAATACATTCAAACTGAGGTGGAAAGGGTATAGCAGGGAGACCCTGGGCATGTGCCTCAGCACTGCAGTGGGCAAGTAAGCAGGCAATATGCCTCTCTATAGGCAAGGGAGAATTGGCAACTTAAGCAAAATCCGGATCTGCAATGGAAGGGAGACAGCACATTTTTCCACTTATAATACCTCTCACAATGAAACAGATGGGTTCTCAGAAACTTGTTGCAACAGAAATAATAAAAGGCTACGGAGGATGAGGGATTGTGACATTTTGCCTTCTATTCTGTATATAGCCTAGAAATGGAAATATTTTTAAAGAACTGCGCTTGACCTTGGAGCTTCTCCACCCAAAATGTTCAGTGGGTGTGTAATACAGAACAAGGATTGGCAAATTCTTGACTGCTTATAGGGTGTGTGTCATCCAGGGCTGTGTCTTACCGTACCTTCATTACAAAAAAAAAAGGCATGATAAATCCGTTATTAAGCATGTTACTGAGATGCTGAGATTCCACCCCTTTTTATTTCCAGACAGATTGTACTAAAAAAGGGGGTGTTCGCAATAAATAAATAAAGGCTGTTGGCAGAGATATTGGGTAACAAGGAAATGGCAAAGCAGAAAGCAATAGTCATTTCAGGGGTAGTACATTTCAACATGAACATCTATGACAGACTTGCTTAATTCCAGATTTTGTAACCTAGAGCAAATGTGAAGGGATATGAATTTAAGGGTAAAGATGTCAGGTAGCTTAGACAGTGTGCAGACTCGATTAGTAGCTTCAGCAAGTTCCAACAACTGCAGCTGAGGTGAAAGCAAGAACTGGGCCTCTGAGCCAACATGTTGTTTCTTACTGCGAAGATTACACACAGTGTATTTGTGCACTTAGGCACACATATGTGCATGCAAGGGTCAAGATGAAACAGCTGAAAACCCAAAACAGAGGTGGTTTTTATTTTTTTTTCTTGGGTGTGAACAAATCCTGGCCTTCAAGTGGTCAGTGCAAGCAGGGCAAATCACAGTTTTCCAGCTTGTTTGAACAACTGTGTATTTATTATATATATACAGAGGCTTTAAAGTTCACAATAGACAGATGTTTGCTATTTTCTTAAATTGGGTGTTTATCTTGTTTGAATGTTACTATCTCTCTCCTTCTAAAGCGTACTATGAATTGTCACAAACAAAACTCAGAATTGTTCCTGTTAGAGCATGTTGAAGACAAACTGTTTAATGCTTCCCTCTCTAGAAGTTGTTACTATTTCTCTGCCTTCATGCCTTTTTCCTTTCCCATTATTCTTAACTGGAGTATTTATTCTTTATCTTCATTAATTGCACTGAAGACTCAGAGGAATAAAAACAACCTCTGCAAACCTCACTAGTGACAGCACCAAAATCACAGACAAGAAGGAAAAACACTACAGTGAGTGTTTCAAAAAGTAGCTGAACGATATTTATACAGCCCCAAAGGGGCATGTGATCTTACACCTTCACACAACGGGGAGGGATAACCTTTAGTAAGAGGAAGATCCATGGTCTATCTTCTGGAGGGGCTCCTAAACTTTGTCTGGAGTGAGAAGTTAAGATAAGGGGAGCATTAACTGCACAGGAGCAGGAGGACATGTACAGAAGGTTTCCCCTCTGCCCTGAAGAGTGTCTAAGATCCTGTATTTTCTCCTTTTTTCCTCCATTCATAATGAATTCCTTGGAAACAAAATGGTTTGGAAAGGGAATCTCTGCAACACATCTTCCTTGAGCTCTGCAGGTTTGTTTCCTCAGCTAGCATCACTTTAAAGGAGGCAACAAGATCAATGCACCAGTTCTTTAGTTCTGGCAACAAGAGGAAACCTATTAGCCTGTACCCCACCCCTCCCCCACAAAAGAATCTGCCTGCTTTTACTTTGTCCCATGGGGTTGTGCAGACAGGAGGCATTGACAGGTACTTCTGAATCAGAGCTTTTGACATGGTAAGATACTCTGCTGAGATTATACAGTCCAAAGCAATAGTATCTTCATTTTTTTCCCTTTAGCTCTTTCACCCTCTACACTGTTTCATCCCTTTTTCATGGTCCCTAGGTATATGACATTTATTTTTGATCAAACCTGTAGCAATACTGTCTCATAACCACTTCAGTTCATACATATAAGGGAGAAGGAGCAGATGGAGTATTGCTTTTGCACATAGGTCTACAGAGGTTTAATCAGTCTAGGATTCATTGGAGCTACCCTGGGAAATAAGGGCTTGCAGGTTCCTGCATTAATATTGTGAGGCCTTGGTCAAAAGCTCATTTAAGTCAAGGAGAAATTCCTCCCTGAATTCAACTGGTTTCAGACAGTCATTTCTCCACAGAGCTGAACCTGGTGAGGTAGATTTGAAATCTTTTCTGAACCGAATTTTGATTTAATAATATTCATGGCTGCATCTTGTTTATTTCCCAGGAACATTTGATATCAGGAGTTTAAAAGTGCAAGCATCAGATAAATTAATTTTTTAAAATAGAAATGTGATTTTTTTTTGTTGTTGTTGAGATATATTTCTGATGGCAGACTGATGACAAAGACTTGCAATTTGCACTGCAGTTTCAGTTACACAACAGCTACGTAATCATTGTGTAACTTATGGAAGTGACTGTGTTCGACCATGATGTTTTCAATCTCAGTGTTTTAAAAATCATTAGCTAAGAATTATTAACTGAAGAAATTAACTGCATTTGTGGGATACCATAGCAACAAAGGGAGCCTGTGGCTTTAAAGAAAGTGCTGCATCAGGCACACGCCAGCACATTTCGTTAAATAAGGAGACACTATTCCAAAATTGCAATGGAGGCTACAGATTGGTAGTGTTCCTGAAATATAGGTTTATAATTTGTCACAGGAAAAATAACTCCATAGAGCAAAACCGCTAAGGTGTTTTAGGATGATCTATTGTGCGGAGGTGGCTGGTGCAGCCATTTTGGATTGGTGTCATGATAGGAAACAGATGGTCTATGCGTTTCTGTTTAACATTTAAAGGGGTATAGAAAGCAACTGGGAGGCGATGCATTTTGTTAATGGGTAAGTAAAGCCTCATATGTACAGTTAAAATAGAAGGTAAAAAATAAGCAACATTTTTTCAGCACAAATGAGGCAATGTAACAACACTCTTCAGTAGATTTATTTGACTTGTTTCACTTTAAATAATTTTAATGAGAAATTCTCTAAATGTTTTTGAGCGGAGATAGAAAGTAATCTGGTAACCACATGTCTTGATGTAAGCCAAGCTGTTCCTTAACAGCACTTTCTTTCAATACAATATAAATTTAGCTGGAATTAGCATTGCTGAATATTAGTCCCTCAGTGCCTCACTTGCTAAACCTCCATCTTCTTTTTATTGCCTCTGAGCCTTTCAGAAGCAGAAAGTGTGGTCAGTTCTGGACAAAGGCAAATTACCCAGCCAGGCTGGGGAAAATGATGTATTTACTGAATTCTCTAACATAGCAAACACTTTGGTAATAACTCAGGAAGGCAGCAAATCTGCCCTGCATACAGTAATATATTTTTTCTGTAATATGCCTCCTTTCCGATTTGATATTGTATATACCAAAAAATGTAGTTACACATGCAAAGCTGTATTTTTCTGAATTTTATGTACTTCACCTTGCTGTATCTTATTTAATTTATAAGATTTATCTTCGAACCTGCAGAGATAGTCAAAGACTATTGTTCATTTCCAAACTTCATTATGCAAGTTACTCAGTCTTCTGGGTTTTCCTTTATTTATTTTTGCTAACTACGAAGAGGACATTGAGGGCAACTAGATTTTAATAGATCCTCACTGTAATTAATTATTCATCAGCAGTAGAAGTATTAACAGCAGCAATCTGACATCCAGAGGAGGCTGAGGTCTTACTGTGGTGAACCTGCAGGGAGAGAGGCTACTCATCCAGGCTCTGCCTAATTAGACCAAGGCGCATTTGGAACTGCTCACATCCAGAGAGAGAGAAAGCAGTTCTGCAGACTGGTCTGATCATCTCAGCAGTTTTCCTTTTCCCGGTCAGACAGATAATGCTGTCGATATTTTAGCATAATTCCATTCAGTCCCTTCTGCCTGTCACAGGCAGATTCATCCTGGCCACCAGGATGGAAATCACCACACACAACCCTGGGTTTCAGTGCATTTCAGTGAGGATCTTTAGATGTGATCTTGTAATATCCATCCTTGCTTCACATGTCTGGGACATTTCTCATCATTTCATTTTTTGGTTTTCTGGTTTTCTCTTCCTTACTTTTTCTTCTGGTTTGGTATATCTATTTGAAATATTTGGCTCTACTGAGATTTCTTATTATTTTGAAAAAAGATATATAATAATTAACCTTTAATCCCACAGATAGAAAAGAGTAAATAAAAGATGTAATAACGTTATAGCATTAATGGAATTGTAGCCTCAGTGGGAAATGGATGCATTATTCATAAGGATTGATAGTCTTTAGTGTCCCAACAGCCCCTTGTGGGGCTTTGGAGGTATTAGACCGGCCACTGGAGAGAGGGCTGCTCTAATGTTCAGTAAACTAAACCAAAAATATAGCAAGAATTATAAAGCAAAACCTAATCAATTCCTAAATATAAATATGATGTTACAAATCCAGCCCTTAATTATCTCCAGAAACCACCCTGCCTCAAAGGGCTGTCAGTGACTTGTCCCTTATTATCTTTAATCAAGCAGAAGAGGCATTGAACGCCACGGTGGTTCTGTATAAAAAGGCACTGCAGGTGAAATCTACAATTCTGTGCCTCCCCTATGTGTGTGCTGCTGCCGACCCCACTCTGCTAATGAAAGAAAGGGCGAGAGAGAGACAAAGGGATGCCATGTTTCCACAGCACGTGTGAAGTCCTGTGTAGCTTCTTTTAATTTCCATTCCCAAAGTCCAGATCACAGCTGCTTTGTAGGAAAAAAATTCAGCCTAGATGCCTGTAGGTAAAAAAACTGCATGGTAACGCACAACAAAGCAGCTGACTGAAGGAGATTTCTGCAGTGTTTTTGGGATTTACAGACGTGGGATGTACCCGGACTTAGATTTCTGTGCTCTGTTTACAGGACATTATTTATCGTAGGCATAATGCAGTATTTAAAAACAAAATGAGTGTTTGTGTACTCTTTCATTTATCTAAACAGATTAGACACTACGGATTGAATATCAGTCTGGGAAACTAAAACTGTGAGTAACCAAATAAATGTATATGTGTAATTCAATATTAATTAATATATTTTTTTATTAGACATTAAATATCTCAGGATAATGATGGGGTCACAAAAGACTAAGTGACCAGTTCCAGGAAGGAAGAAGCATTTTGTGACACAGGGGTCTGAAAACACATATCACAGCAAAGATGCTGAAAAACCTTCAGCCTTACAGTAGCACTGACCTTTTTTGGTGTATGGTGTGATCGTCTCTATTTTGTGCTTTCCCAGATAACCCACCTCATCCCTCTGTTTTGTACATTCAACTCCTGACATGTAGATATGAGCTAAAATTTTAAATATAAAACTAGATTCTTAATTTGAATGTGTCAATAAAGAAAGAATAATGGTGGAAAAGAAGGTGTCCAAGAATTATTACACTTTCTTTGTTAAAATGTATAGAGATAAGTGCACATACACACATAAATGAAAACAGA